TGTGATTGAGATTGAGGAGGGATCGGGGCGGAATGTGGGAGCTGTTACTGGGGGAAGGAGCCAAGCGGCGCGGAGCAGCCGGCGGCCCGCAGACACTCCGGGTGCCCGGCCGCGCCGAAATGGGCGCCGGGGAAGGGACGGGAAGGGAAGGGAAGGGGAGGAAGGGAGGGAAGGAAGGAAGGGAGGAAGGGAAGGAGCGGAGCCGGGAGGCGAGGCCAGGCGAGGAGGAGCGGGCCGGCCCGGCCAACACAACCCCGCCGCCCTGGCAGCGCCGGGGGGGACCCGCTCCCCGGATCCCCTTCCCTGCCTCCCGCCCGGCCTTCCCCGCCGCTCCCGGGGAAGCGGCTGCGGGGAATGGGATGGGAGGGGAAGGGGAGGCCGCCCGGGCATGGCAGGCCCCGGGCCGCGGAGCTTTTCTAGGAAAGCCATTAAACTGCGCTGCCAACAGCGCTTATGTAAATGCAGGATGTAACATGGTGGTTTTTTTTCCCTTCTCTCCCCTCGCAGCCCGTCGCGGTTGGCGATGGCACCTGGCACCGGGATCCAGCCCCGCTGCCCTCTAATTTCATTTAATGAAAATAACCCTCCACGGCAGCAGTGCGGTGCCCTACCTGGGTTCTGCTCGTTTTTAGAATTGAAACGCTTGTTTGCCGTCTGCACTGTTTGTTTTTGAAAGCGAGCCTTGTTAATCAAAACCACGTTCGTCACCAGGCAGCCCTTTCCATCTTGAAATGGTTTTGCAACAAGCATTTCACGCTCTTGGGCGATGGTCCAGCACTCTCATGTCCGGACATTGGCACCGTGCAGAGTCACGATGACCACAAACCATGCACGGATCCGATAGAAACGTCCGATGTTATCCCTGCTCGTTCCAAGGGCTCGCCATGGGCCCTATCCCAGGTCTGATGCTACTCAAAACGGGGCCTCCACATCACCACAGTTCTGTAGAGTTTGATTTCACTGATGGAAAAAAAGGATAAAAAGATGGGCCAGGAATACTGTGGAGTTTTTTTCCTTTGTTTGTTTGGTTGTGCTTTTTGTTTTGGGTTTGTTTGTTTATTTGTTTTTTGTTTGATTGTTTTTATGGATATTGCTCAGCATTGCTGGAGAATTGTGGACATAAGGCAGCAGTTCTGGAGTTAAAGGTGGATTTTACTTTCAGCCTAACGCCTGGGACATACCATAGGCAGATTTCACCTACCTGAGCATAATCTCAAAAACAGATGGGACCCATCCACTCCACAATGCCTTGGATGGGTGAGTGTCTAGGTGTAGGATCATCTCACAGTGCTCATTTCCTTCAGGGTCAAGCCCATGCGTTTTTCCTTTTTTTATGAAGAAAAATATTAAAATATTCTGAGAAAACGGATTTTTTTTTTTTTTTTTGCATTGCAAAATCATACAATTCTGAGAAAACCCTGGGCCTTCAGACTATTTGCTTGAAGAGGCCAGAGTTACATGAGAAAACCAAAATTTCTCTAGAAATTCAGGAAGTGTATTTGTAATTGCAAATCCCTTGGTGTCCAACATTTATTTCTTTAATTGTTCGATGGCCCAAGTGGGCAACTTTCTCTTCTCAGTAATGGTGTGTAGGTTATCTGCTTCAGGAACGTTAGAGGTGATAATTTTTGAGGACCATATCCAGGTCAATTCCAAAATTTAAGCACTTTTCTGAAAGTTGGGAAATTTAAAAGAGGCAAAAAAAAAAAAAAAAAAAGTGGCAAGGGACTTGTTAGCACGTTTCTGCATTATTATCTCAGATCTGTCCATGCTTCTAAATGATTTAACCTCTTTGATACTCCCAACTTAGTGAAAGAAGATAAGCAAAAACAGTGGGTGGAGGAAGGGGAATGGGAAAATGCACGTAGCCTAAGGCAAGAGGAAAGGGAGCTCTTCTAGGGGAGTGGGGGACACCAGGGGCCTAAAGAAGGATATGGGAGCAGCTGTGAGAAGTTCCATGAAACGGGAATGAGAGGTGCAACGTTCAGAAGGCTTGTGTGAGAAACGGGGGAGGGAAAATCCCTGGAGTGTGCGTTGTTTGGCCCTCAGGAACTACAAACACCGACTTCCCATCCATCTGCCTAGCAGCGACAGCGTGCTGAACTGAAGTCATCTGGCTGGAGGTTTCCGTGGTCTGGTGTTCTCCGAATGTTCAGTCACGGCTCCGGGGTGCCAGGCTCTCGTTTTTAACCTGCTGACGTGCTCAGCTTGGTGATTACCCGAGGTTCTGCTCCGCAGGATCTACAAAGTGCACTCTGGCAGATTGATGCCTTAGTAATTGTACCCCATCCGTTTTGTTCTGGTTTCCCTTTCTTCCCGAAGGCGAATACCCCACAGGACTGCACAAATGCCCTCCATGAGGAGCTTTTGACTTTGTAGTTCTTGCTGCCCAAATGCTCAGCTGGGCTCACAGCTACGGGGGGGCCACTTCTAGAGCATCTGGGAGGGAAATTCTTGCTCTCAGAGGTTTCCAAGAACCGATGTTGGGTAACACGGGGCAGTTGAGCAGGTAGTGGTTTACAGCGGATTGTCTGGTGAGCAAGCTGGGCTTGGGGGGTCGGCTTTGCCTTGAGCTGGGAGAGGCACTCTAAAACAATTACTGTTGTTATGTTTCCTTTCACAGAGTAATGGGAAAGACGGGGCAAAGCTCTAACTTTTGGATGTGTAACTGGAGCGGTTCTGAGGTCTTGGTTCATACCCGTG